CTGTACCCTCTTCGCCTCTGGTCTTCTTGCCTCTGTCTTGACAGCGGGCTCAGGTTGGGGGGAGGAGGAGGGCGTGAGATAGACGCTGTGCAAGTCCGCGCTCACTATAAACTAATTCACGCACAAGTCACCGAACCTGCTTGCACCCTGCTGTGGAGCACGCGGTAGACATCTTCGGATGCGACGGTCGAACTGCCATGTGGTGCAGAAGGGTGAGCTCTGCGATGTTTTCCGCAGATTTTCATGAGGACGCCTATGTCTCTGGATAGGCTGGACAGGCAAATTGATTGCGACGGGTATATTTTGTGGCCCCTAACACTGGTACGGCAGTCTCTTTGCATTGGATTCACAATTGCCCGACCAAGTCGACGTCTGATACAAATTTACGCTAACAGTAAGAACGGAATGGGACTGTGGTGTGGCGATGCTAGTTACGGCGGTGACGCCGGCAGTGATGGAGTTGGTAGTGTCGACGGTAGAGGATTTTTCAGTTGCAGGAGGCAGGGTTCTTTTGAGGTTGTTACGGTGTATTCTGCTGTCATGGTCACATATATGGCCAATCATACCCGCGCGATGTCTGAATGTCCTGGGTCCCTGCGGTCACTGTTTCTCCCACAACCTGTCACCTTCCCAACTGCGCCTGCTCATCGCGCGTAGACGTGGTCAGTCACTTTCGAACCTGATGCGTTGAGCTCGGTGTACCATTGCCTGTAGTCCCGACATATACGACTCACACACGAAGATAATGAATAATCACTAGTCTTCAGCAGATCTAGGACACGAGACCTTACCTATTCGGATGCCTGCCAAACAAATTCGTCCTTTCATCGAAATCTTGGTTAGATGCAAACCTGTCTAAGGTCGTTATTAGGGGGTATTTTGAGATAAACGACGAGGGAAACATTTTATCATCTCTGGACAAGTTGAGTCAAATGAAATCGACTCATATGTTTGCGTGTATACTTTTGCCTTTAAGATGAGGGTGATTCCAGTCCTGCTCCCAGCATACACTCAGAAGTAAGGAGTAGCGCTCAGACATGATTTTTCCTTTAGAAGGAAGCAAGTGGTTTACCTCTACATAGAAGGCCTGTCTGACAATCCCGGAAGAAGTCGATTAATCTAAGAAATGATCAGCCATAGGAAACAGCAAAAAGAGGAATACCGAGTACTAAACGAAAGTGATGGACGTGGAGGGGAGAGCTTGGCGGTAGGGCATATGGGATAAACTCGGACGATCGGCAGTCCATCTGCACCTCAGTGAAAAGTGTCCCCTGGCCGCGTGAATTTCCAGTTCCCATAGGCTGTGTCAGATATCTGACACATTATCCTGTGGCGGGCAGAAATACCGTGTTAGGAAACACAAGCAGGCAAGTCGTAAAACACACAACATGACACAAGTTATGAGCTCACAGCCTGTCCAGTGTAAACGCCGTGCCGCAGCCACCCATGTGGTACCGCAAGTCCCATTGGCTACCACCGTCCGTCAAACCCCACATTGAATTGCCATAAATTCTCGGCTGGTTGTTCACCTCGGGCAGTTCCATGAGTTAGGGTAGGAGGAATTTTCGCAAACCCTCCCCTCCCCCTTGGGAGATTTCTCCTAGGCCCTTTTATTGGTGCGAGTGATGGCAGGGCACTGCGTTCGTTCACTCGTCTGGCATGAAGACCCCGAGGCTACAGATCGCGTGTTTGCGGGTGGTTGTATTTTCGTCAGTGATTAGATTAGCACATTGCTAATTAATTTTTCGCAGAGTCTGCAATCACGGCGCCTGCTCCCATATAATGACGGCTTAGCGCCTACAGCTCATAATAACTAATCCCCTCTTCTGATCTAATTAAATACTCCCGAACGCATGCTCGTGCTTACTTCAAAGTCGCATGAACTGGCACGACCTTGCGACATACTACAAGCCCAAACCCTCCCTATCGAGGGCGCTGGAGGTTGTTGAGTTGGCGACGGACGGTGAGGCATAAGGGAAACGGGTTTTCTGCGACCAATCGTCTAGTGTAATTATAAAAGAGCAATTGGAGCGCTAAGCGGTGCCTCTTCGTGGATCGCACCTTTGATGCGACAGCTCTCTGTTCACGAAAATTCTGTGTACCCGTGGCGTCTTCCAATTGGAGGCTTTATATTCATCGCCTAGTGGCAAAAGTGTCATGACGTTTCGAAAGCTGCCAGTGAGCAACAACCTCCTAAAACTACAGTCAGCGACTGATCTCCTGAAATGTTAACTGAAATCCTAAAATTCGTTTGCGATTAGGGAGAGTCAACTAATTAGGGTTGTAATAATTACTGTCTTGTGACATACTCCCACGATGTTCCAGACACGCCAGGATGTTAGCTTTTGAAGGTATCTCTTTTCAACCGCCCGAAAGCTTCACCCGATAAAAAAAGTGACTAGTTGATTAGTATGCATATTTTCTACTAATTTGTGACGTCCGCACAAATTCAAGCACACTTTGCAAAACACATGCATAAAAATATTCTTCATCGTACTCAGTTGGTGGCAAATCACGTCTTCACCAAATTCTATACTTAAAGAAAGGGCATCTTTCGATTTTAAAAAGCCTGCAATTCCCGAGTAACTTTGAGCCCAATCTGCTGTTCCATTTGCAATTAGGGTTTTCAGTCTACAAGCTACATATTTTCCGTGTGAGGAAAAACATGCATCCCTGTATGCCATTAAAAAGACACAAAATGGAGCTTTTAAGATTTTACAACGGGTGTGGACCGTGTTGTGCATTTCATAGGAGGCCCTTTTAAGCAGACAGATATGATACTATTTGAATGGGCGCTGCATGGTTTTAAAAATCTCTTGACTAGGACCTCTCTTAAAACCAAACGGTACACTTTCATCGAATATAAAGCGTAATGAAGATGTAATTTGTTAGCAAACGAGCATAGGGAAGAACATTTGTGCACGTGTTTTCTGTAAGATATATTTAAGTGTACACAGGCATCAAAAATAAATAAAAGGCATACTACTGAAATAGTCATTTTTTACCTAATACGGTTTTCGCAGGCAGCTGAAAAGAAGTGAATTGAAAAGCCAACATCCTAGCTTGTCCGCAATATTATGGAACTACACTGCAAGGTAGTAAGCATTATACCGCAACTTGAGTAATTGCTCCATACTCGAAAACGCACTCAGAATGTCGGTCAGCATTTCATGGGATCGGTCACTCCCTAGACTGTGGCTGTTGTCTTTCTGTTAAACTGACTACAAGTACCTCGAGGTGAAAGTCCTAGTGGTTTGCGGGCAGGCATAAATTATTGGTTTGACTAATGACCTCCTCTCCTCTTTGGTGATATGTGCCGTCCTGTGGGCAAAGTTTGCGATAAAATGCACGGACTTCGCATGCTGTCAGACTGGTGAAGATAGGATCAGTCATCACTTCGTTTATAGATGTGTCGGTTTTTTGCTGATTTGTTAGAGGTTTATGTGTGGTCTGTGATTGTTCCCCCAGGGTGAATGTCTTGCTCATGTTTAGGGAATCCATAGAAATCTCTGAAATAGCCAGTTCTACCTTATCATCTGGTAATCAGCTAGAGTCAGACAGATTAGTCCGCTTGGGGTCCTATGCATTTCTGACCACAGTCATCAAGAAATGGGTCTGTAGTTCAACTGCCAGAGCACCTAAATTAGGAATGCTGAGTGACCAGCTAGTTCGCAGTTCAGACGACCGACTTAGGGTTGTTAAAAATGTCAAATACGCCAGAAACAGCCATTAAAGTGTCACTTGTCGGTAGCACTCATCGGTTACTGATTTCTAACAACGACGCGACCACCTGCGGGGTTCTAAATTCGAAGCTACAAGATGTTCCCGAAAACACCACCCCCGTATAAAGTGCAGTTTTGTCTGATGAATAAACATTGTCTACCTTTAGTGGTTTTGAGGACAAAACGATGGAGGTGGGGGGTGGGGGCGGGACAGTTCGACCATCGCGAACAATGATGCCAACCAGGTAGGGATGGTAACTTGCATGGGAATTAGTTTGTTGTGAGAGTAGACTTGCACTGCATCCACCGCGCCCTCCCCGCACCACCCACCTGGGTCCGCTGACAGGACAAGGTCAGGACGATCGGAGACGGGATGCGGACAGCGACTGGTAAGGCCAAACAGCCTGCATACGCGTGTCTCACACGCCTGATCCACGCGCGCTGGTCCAGATCTTCACAGAAAACAAAGGGACCGGCTTGAATCCTAGCTGAGTGGGAATGCCATAGAGGCCACGTTAAGGCGCCGTTTCAGCCTGACTCTGCGTCCTGAGAGGACCGAGTTATCTCTTCAGTTGGCCAGCTCTCCAAGCCACAACTTTTGGCGCCTCAGGTTAGTTTAAGAGCGGGTTAGATTGGCTATCATGGGGAGATGAGCTTGGATGCTGTGGAGTTCCCGGAGTCACTCTCTTTCCCTCCTCTCTCTTTCATACACCAGCCTACTGTCCAAGTCGGTCAGCCACCTGACGCGCTAGTAGGGCGCACGTGTCTGGCGAGGCGCGAGTCTGCACATAGGCGTGCCACAACACCCTCCACCTGTGCGTGGCAATTGTGATGGGGTGTGGGGACTCTGAGCAGTCCAGGAAACGCGTGCCGTGCCCCAGTATGGACCCCTGTTTTGGCCCATCGCATTTCCAAGGTGACCCCTTGGAGGGGCCAGGTGTCGTAATCACTTCCCGCTTGACAATGAACAATTCAAGTTAGGTCCCAGTTTTATTTTTCTAACAACTACGTCATTGGTAATGTACAAAAATGTTTTCATATAGGCCTCGGAACTACCCATGTCATATATAGGCAGTCCGACCTTCGAATGGATGGTGGTTGGAGTGGATTTTTGATGCGAGAAAACGTAAGAACCAGTTATTTCCTGAACATAATGGTTTTAGTCAGAAATTCAGGTCGGTTTTCCAACCAAACTATCGATCAATTTTCTAAAGTGAGATCAGACTCTACACAGCCACACTCACGCTCCTGACTACATATTTTGAAGGTTTTTCCGATATGCTTTCTGTTGCTATCAGCGATCATCGAATGCCAACAACCTGCGGCTTCCCGAACTGCAAATTCCGTTCACGGTATCGTGGTTTTGAGGACAATCGTCATTTCTACCGGGTTCCGAAAAAGCCGGCAATCCTGCGACACAAGTGGCTGGAGGCCATCGAAAGGACCGAGGCAACTATAGTCAGTCAGGTAAAATTCTCTTCTTGTTGCTTAGAACCTCTGTGAACTGAGGGCATGACTTTTACAAGATTGTGCATTTCAGTGCCTACTGATAAAGAACTCTTCTTTTTGCTTTTACAGGAGGATATAAGTAAGGGCACCAGTGTCTTTTCCAGATTGCATTTTTTAAAGTGTTTCTGAGCTGTTTGTTCTTCATTTTACCTCATTTATGACTGAGTTTTAAATGGTGACATGGCGGCATCAAAGTCAGTGGAAATGAGTCCGGTTTCGATGGGAGAAATAAACATCCAATACGCCGGTCATATTATGAGCGCAGGGCAGAACAGTGACCTACTAATTTCCCTGTGATGTTTGCATTCTGTTTGTTTCTATATGCTGCTGGACTTCTCCCATTCACTGAAAATGCTGGCCAATCAGTGACTGGTGACTGACACTGGGAAACTGAGGAGTTCAGAGATCGGCGGCGTATTCCTCAAGAACGGTGCGCAGTCCTTACATTCCTCCCCTCTTTGCTTCGTCATCAGGTTGTCGCTTAGGCGTCTGATAGTTCAGATTAAGCTCGTGCTGGGAACTCGCTATGGTCTGAGCGGGGATCCTATTACGTATAGATCAGCAAACTCCTGTTGAGGAGATGTAAAAATTCTAATCTACTATCTGAAAGACCCAGTCCGAGCCTTCAGTCTTGCCTTAAAGCTGCGATCCGGAGTCTTCACCTGTGAGAGCTTGATCCTCGCAAACGAGGTCCGGCGCGTGCCCCACGAAATAAGCGCTTGAATTATTGTACAGCGAGACAGACTTGCGGAATACCTATCGCGCGCTCTCTCTCTCTCCCCTCACCCACCCTGTCCCGAAAGCAATAAGACGACGTAGGTGGACGTAGACTTAGAGCTGGCGAAGCTGAACAGTCCATCTATGCGTGCCACACACGACTCGGTCCCCAAGGTCGCTGCAAGGACGACTAGGATCTCACATGCGCGAGAACGCCACAGGGGACGCGTTAAGAAGGAATCAATGCGACCCGATTTCCAGTTCACCAGCCACTGCACTCCAACCAAACCGTTGGCGACCGTCCAAGCCACAACTCTTGGCGCGTCGTGATTGGTTAAAGCGCATCCAATTCATTATACTGTCGACTGTCCGAGCCCGCCAGCCATCCAGCGCGAGTATTGGATGCAGAGACTGACAGAGGTAGGCAGCCCACCAACGTGTGCCACACGCGACTCGGTCCCCAGGAAACTAAGTGAGATGCGTATGTTCTGTCATGAGGCATTTCGCTCACCATATCGTCGTCGACCTAACGGACCGCATTCTAGCTGCGGCAGGAACGTATGGTATTATGCGGGTGGTGTGAATCTGGGCCTCCTTTACTATATGGCTTTACAAACTCGAATGTGATGTGTTGGGGTCGGTGGCTTCAAGTGTATTGGTTTCAAACTTCTTTCCTATTTCGGCTTTTATTCTCATTTTTAGAGGTCGCTTTACAAGCTCTATCAATTTTTGCCCCGATGGCTATCAGAGATGAACTGTGCGCTTTTCGATTTTATTCCTAATGCATTTTGCAACCCTATTTTAGTTGAGAATATGCAGTGGCCATTTCCACGGCGGCGAAAAGCGGGAAGGCGATATCCCCGTCGCAGACCCAGCGGTCGATCCTCCACGCCGGATTGAGCTGCCACCCAAGGGAGTCCGGTTCTCCTCTAAGGGCATGTCTCGGGCGTTCAAGGCCCATTTTCGACAATCCTCCGCTGCTATCTCTGGCTCCTCTTGTGCTCGCAGTAATCGCGGAGGACTGGGCATTGGTATCTGCGGTCGACCGTCAGGTCGCTACAAAGCCGGTCTTCCTGCGGAGTACGCTGGCGCCTATAAGAGCTACTCAAGGCCAAGTGATATGCCGAACCCCACCCTACACGACTTTTACCCAATAACCTCGAGGATCTTTCCGTCCTCGGCGAGTACACGCACACCGTCAGTGGATTGCATCCACCAACAGGGTCCTGGTCGGCTGCATACAGTCTCCACCAATAAGCATGCAAATTTCATCCCCGACAACGGCATGATACTGCCTCCCATCTCATTCCTGCCCCCTCTCAGCAACATCTTTAGGTCAGGCTTTCAGAACGCTTTTAGTGGGGAGACTACATCCCAGGGTGACAACGCTGTATCCTTTCTTGACGCGCTGGACGCCAAACACCTGCCGCTTCTTAATGATTTACTGAAAGGTGGCCTCCAGTTTCTGGAGACGGGAACTACGACAGCGGAGGTCTTCGCAAAGCACGCGACGCCTCATTCGAACTTAAAGAATAAAATTTTGCCTGAATTCAACAGTATGGTCCTGCTGTGGAACTCGCTGCACAACTTTCAGACGCCTCCGCTGCACTCATTGCCACCCCTGACTGCATCTTCGGCGAACCTGCCAGCCGCGAGTGCAGCCACTGCATCTTTGCCGTCGGACGTCCCCTGTGTGTACGGTAACTTGCCAATGTCATATCTGATCAGTGGGTTTGAGCAACAGAAGGAGTTTCTCGAGCCCGTTTGGCCTACACCTCCCGCCCAGTCCTGCGCACTCGCGCAGAAATGCCCGAGATCTGCGATCTCCTCGGACAGCGCTCTCGACCAGGAGACCGCACTGTCGATTCCGCCCTCCTTCATGAAGTTCTCTGGCAGTACAACAAAACCCGTGTTTTGTGAAAATAGGGGAGAACAGCCCGTCACGACGTGCAGATCATCAAATATTACGTACAAAGGTAAGGAGGAGGATCAGTCAGAGATTCTCCACGAATGAAGGCGAAATTTCGAGTTCCAGGTGTATGCATAAGTGAAGAAGAAGATTCGAGCACCGGAACATTTTGTTTATTGTCCTGAGCTTTCAGACTCGTACAGGAGTCCATCGTCAGAGGTAGTGGCAGAAAGCGGCAGTTATAAGGCATGTAGGCCCAATCATCGACCGACGGCGCAAGACTGGGGGTGACTACGCAGGGCTCTGTAGGCCAGCGCCAGATCGATAAATCGATTGACCGAGTTCTCATCCGAGGCCCAGGCTTCAGTCAGTTCTCGGCCTGTTTTGTTTCCGGTGGGGGCGACTATTTTGTTGGCTGCGAAGTTAAACTCTTGACTCATTTCGTAGGTGTGGGCGGCCACTTGTGATAATGCGTCACCTCGCCGCACAGCCAGCTTATGTTCGTGCATGCGCGATCCGAGCATGCGTCCAGTCTGTCCTGTGTAGTTACAAGGATAATTTTGACACGGAATGCGATACACTACTCCAGTCTGAATCATTGAAAGATTAAAAACTGATCGGAAGCAGGCGATTAACAAGGCTCTTCCATATAAGAAACACAACAGCTATCCTGAGCGCACTACGATGTAGCGTAGCCACTTGGAAACGGTGCTCAGCGGCCTCTCCATAGTGTAATGCAGCGCAATAACACTGTTTTTCCTGGGCCTCGGTCTAGGTTCTTACCGATGGACATACAGGAGCGATCAGCTATTAATCGGGAAGTACTAAAGGAAAAGACAGTAGGAACTATAGTAGTCATTCATAGCCGGCCTGCAATCCTCAAATAAAGGCACTGTAACCTTAAACTAACAAGACTCCAGTCTTGCTCTTTAACCCGAACTGGAGTCCAGAGTCCTGTCTCTGAGCAACAATCTCACGTTTTATCAATTGTAGCTATTCCGGGTCACAGAGCCAATCTACTCCGAGTGGTTTTCTTTGATTCAACTGTCTTGTTTTCCGACATAAAATATGAGAGTGAGCAGTCTGACGGCAGAAAAGAGGTCGGAAACGGTCCTGTCGGTCCATGCCCTTGTCACAACGCACGACAGTTCGATCGTCGCGACCAGCGATGTCCAGTGTGTGCCCAAGGGCAGCATGGACGCGGGGACAGTGACCTGGTCTGGACGATACACGAACTTCGGCAGTTTCTTGCCCCACCAACAAAAACAAAATCGAATCCGGTGTTTCGCGTAAGGAGCTAGGAAAATTTGTTCAGCAGGCAGCATCGAGGAGGAGCTTAGAAAGATCTGGGACTTGCTTCCTGGCAGGTTTATGGCCGAACGACCGGTAAAGCCCACCACACTGACTACCGACGAGAAAACTCTATCCCTTTTCTCAAGGGGGTGCTGTGAGTGACCTATTAAGACGCCTTGATCAAGCTGTCTCACGAACCGTCCCAGCAACAAGGGTTCTCACACTGTTTCTACTAACCCTATTTTACGCGGAGAATGTAAGGATAGGTTGTCATCTCAGACCACCTGAATGTCCATCTACTTCTTCACTTGCTCCTGTGGGACAGGTTATATTGGTCGCACGAGCCGACGCCTATCCAAAAGAATACGAGGACACCTCTCGGTATGGTTGTGAAAGGACGAAGTCAAGAGCATAAACAACGCTATTCTCGCACATGTTATTGATTCAGGACACCATGTGGACCCCAGCGAGGCTTTTCGTGTGGTTTATGAGGTCCCATAGAGCTACCGTAGGCTACTGCGCCAGCGTCTATTAGCAACATCATAAGGGGCCGCTATCAGGTTAGGAAAGTCGGTGTTGTGCACGCAGAAGAACCTCATTCAGGCTTCGCGCTTACCGTGTTCAAAAGTCGACTAACTGCATTCAACTCTCCGCACCCTTCCATTCTCACCCCTCCCTCCCCTCTCCCCAATTCCGATGCCCCGCCTGTGTTTTAAGACGAACTTGAATCAATTTCTCTGGTCACTCATATGCATTTATTGAAAACAAACAAATGCTCGCCCAATGGTCTTCTGAATGCCTCTTTTTAGCTTCTGTCTGGCTTAAGAGGTTGAATCAAGAACCTTTCAGTCATGGCAATCAACACACTCAGCAATCTCGGACTTGTTTTTCGCTTAGCACAGGTTTATTTTAATACTCTCCGGCACTGCTCTTGTTCACCCTAGCGACGCTTATATTTTGTCCTATCTACTCCGTTATTTCATATTCCAATAGGCAACAGGTCAAAGAGCGACGAAGGGACAACTGTCATAATCCTTGGTGGACCAACTCACACCGACGTCGAGTCCCAAATCTTCGGAATCCTGCCTTGGATACGCTCACATATTCGAATAGTACATTTCGTGGCTGGACAGGCGATGAATGCTGAGGTGAAGTCAGCAGATTTGATCCACTTGTCCTCTAGTCTTAAAGCAAGTGATGACTCATAATTTGATTGGCGGGACATTTGGTTGGGTGCCAAAATTGTTTAAGCCCTTCACTTGTTCGTGGTCCGGATTGCTTTAGACTTAATATGGATCTAGTCTTATTTCTCCTGTCAGTCGTTCCTTAATCGAAAAGATTGCATTTTTTCCCGGAGTTACAGTTTAGGCCACGTAGCTGTGAGTTCGAAATTAATAGTGAGCGTTGACGTAACGAGGCTCCGAGTTTTTCACAGTTGGGTCAATATGAATTCTTCAAAATCTGCCAAAGCATCTATAAATTACCTATTTTCAGACTTTCACAATGCTCACCTTGCCGACTGCGGCGTCCAGGGCGCTGGCCAGTTCATTGTCGGCAACCTATGGAAGCGAGGATATTCAGCTCTATGTAGACACCGATTGTGCATAGTTTCAACACCAAGTATTATATCGGCTCCACATATAAACTGAACATTTTTAGCCCCTACTGTGCAGTCTGAGGCCTCGACGATAACAAAAGCTAGTGTACCTACTCATTCTCAAATAAGAAGATGTGTGTCGAGAAATTTTGTCAATATTCTGGTGCCGGCTGCCGGTCTACACGGCATCGAATTGCATCCAGCATGGGTGGTGGGGCTAAAACAAGGGAATGCTCGATTTTTGCAAAGAAATCCTCTTATAAATCAAATCAAAACTTTATCACGTACCTTGTTTCCTACCTTCTAGAAAATTCCGAACTCCCGTTACTGGGAATATGCGACTAGAGTGGTATAAGCTGCAAGTTCAAATGAAATTACACCCCCATAAGAGCCCGTAAGAGTCTAACCACCAACGAATAAGCAATTACCAAAAGAGCTGTTTTTACAAGGTAATACATGCTTTGAGCCTCTTTAACCACCTATCTAGAATGAGCCGAAACAGCGGAAATAGCCTTTCACCTGTGTACGGTTATTCGGGTGCTTTTCAGTCTACAGTAGGTGGGCTAGCTCATGAAATCTCAACAGAAATTCCGAAAGACGTTTTCGTTTCGAAAAAATTAATTATGTAGGGTTTGAAAACCAACAATCGTACAGCATAATTCTATAATAATTCAGTTTTCTCCTGACGCCGGCTTTTGAACAAACTTCTTTCCGGCCACAAGCAAAAACCACTTTCTGTAAAAAATGACTACTTAATTAGCATGCACTTTTTATTGATTTTCGATGTCCTTAAAAATTAAATTACATTTCATGAAAAAAATGCACCAAAATATTCATTCTTTTGCTCATTCAGTATACAATTACGTCTTATTTTAATTTTGCACTCGAACAAAGGATATAATTTGATTTTATAAAATTTTTCCATTTCCCGAATAACTTTGAACCCAACCTGCCGTTACACTTGCATTCAGGGTTCCCAAACTACAAACCGTATATTTTCCGCATGTGAAAAACCATACATTTCTCTACGGCATAAAAAGGAGACCATGTGGGGTTCATAAAATTAAGCAAAGGATTTGAGCCACATTATTAACTTTACAAGCCACATTGGTAAATGCAGTGACATGACGTTTTATGAACGGCCATTTCACGGTATTAAAAAATCTCAGAATTAGAAACTTCTTTAAGACCAATTATACCCTTTCTTCGAGTATAAAATTGGAAGAGAACGTAATTTTCTAGCGAATGAGTACAAAATGAATACGTTTATGCATGTTTTCCATGAAATATAATTGAATCTCTAAGGGCATCGAAAATTAATTAAGAAGTGCATACTACTTAAACAGTCATTTTTTCGGAGTATGGCTTTTAGATGCAGTCGGAATGAAATTTGTTCGAAAGCCGGCGGCCGCGGATTACTGAATTCTTATAGAATTATGCTGTACGATGATTGGTTTCACAACCCTACTTAATTAATCTTTTCGAAACGGAAACGCGTTTCGGAATTTCTGTTGAGATTTCATGAGTTAGCCCACCTACTGTACTTATAGTATCTGGTCTCATTGAGACTAGAAATCGTTGAAATGTCCCAAAATAAATCAGGACACCTGGTAACCCCTTGGACAGAATCGGTAGGCATGGCAAATCTTGAATGACAACGTTCGAAGCCATTTGGGTAAGCAGTAGGCGAGCACGAAATGGAACTACTAAGACCAATACCCTTGACGCCAACCGCACGGTCTGTTCTCGTTCAAGTTCCAAATTAGCCTCGTTGGACATCTGCAAACTTTTGCAGTGAAGCCACTGCCAACCGATTCGTCGTCCCTCAGAACAGCAAAATCTCCAAAAAACCGCTCACAAAGGGTCTCATTGTGACCTCACACTACGTTTCGTTCTATTTCAAAAAATCCCTGCACTTATTGCACACTCTGACACCACCGAGGAACCGATGACAGTCTAGAGCAAGGCCGAGACAGTGCCAACCTGTACGCTCTGTGGCTACAATTGCCAGTCACACATTGGCCAAAAGTCGGATGCTTGCTCACCCATCGAAGAACGTGTGGCAGGCCGTCTTTGGGCACCTCATTCGGACCAGCCACTCTCACTCCGGAAGCGACCTATGTGGTGGTCAGCTTGGGCTTCGTCCAAGTCGACGGGGTCATTTTCTGTGTCTGATTCCACCCCCTAGCCGATTTCTCCTCAAAGGAAGTGCAGG